AAATAAACTCAAAATGGATAAAGGACCTGAATGTGAGACAGGAAACCATCAAAACCTTAGAGGAGAAAGCAGGAAAAGACCTCTCTGACCTCAGCTGTAGCAATCTCTTACTCGACACATCCCCAAAGGCAAGGGAATTAAAAGCAAAAGTAAATTACTGGGACCTTATGAAGATAAAAACCAAATTAAATTAAACCTAGGTTATAACACAAGTATTATATGTCCTTGGCAATTTAGAATAGCAGGAGAATATGGATTTGGGGGGAAATGATGCCCAGTTTGAATGCTGGCTTTGCCACTTAGTAGCCATATGAACTGAAACAGGTAATTTACCTTATCTAAGTCCCAGTTTGCATTATTTTCAAAGGAATGGTAATCATATCTACCTCAGAGCTGGGTTTTTAGAACCTAGTTCTCCAATCTCTCCTTCCTTCCACTTTCTCGTGAGATTATTATAGTAATGGCCATCTGTGAAAAAGTGTGCCAGCAACAGAGTGGAATGTTTAACTTCCCAAAATCTCATTGAATCTTTGTAGCAATTTTGTGAACTCTATATTTTTATGCCCATTTTACATGTGAGTAAAATGACTTGTTCAAGGTTTTTCTGTTAGAAAGTGGTAAAGTTGGGCATGAAAACCAGATCTTCTACCTATTATATCTTTCCACTTCAACAAGGCCTTACTAAATTGGAGAAGTGGAGAGCTGTGATGTAAAGTCAGGTAGTACTTTTAAAAAGAAAACATGACTATTCTCTTGGACAGTCATCAAATTTCAAATCTCAGACTTAGATGGGAAAAGAAAGCTACCAGACTTACCTTGTTACTTTGTCAATTTCTCCACTGAAAAAAACCCTTGTGCCCATAAATAAGTAGGCACAAGAGACCTATGAGGAGAAATTAACTTTGAACTCTTGAATTTTATTATAAAAATTCATGTAGAGTTGTCATATCCCACAATGTGGTTAACAAACAATATATTTTAGGTTACTGAACATCAGGAAAAATATGATGCTTTTATAAAGATGTTTGGTGGTTTTCTAAATTTCTTCTTGTTTGAAAAGTGCAGTGATATTTATCAAAAAGCTGCACTTTTAACACATCTATCCTTTTTCCCCCTTATCTATACACTTGTATTTACCTTTCCCTAAATGCGCTGGATACCCAAGAAGGATGGTCTTTTTTATTTTAAGGATATTAGACATCTCCCCTATTTTTATGGTAAAGCAAAAGGTGCAGGCAACCTAAACTTACAATGCAGCTATTATGTGGCAGGCACAGGGGGAAGGGCTTAACATGTACTATTTAATGTAATTCTCGCAAAAGCCCTCTAGATAGAAAGTATCCCCACTCTCCACATGAGACAAATGGAGTTCAGAGAGCCTTAATGACTGGGACCAGGGTTCAGTGGTGGATGCAGGATTCCAGCCCACCTCTGCCTGGCTCCAAAGCCCTGCTGAGTTGACATTCATCCTTCAAACAAGGAGCACTAGTCTATGACTTCTGCATTTCACATTGGTTCCACAGTTCTTGGAGAATTTGCTTAAAGTAGTCAGACCCTTTAAAGTATTTTCAATTCAGACAGACAGACAAACAGACAGACAGACAGACTGAGATTACAGGTAGGTGCTGAAGATTTCTGAGCCCAACTTCTCCATAGTTGAGCTGGCATTTGTGACCTATAGCTTCTAGTAATCCACTTTTATTTAATTAATTGTGAAACTGTTGAAGTGGTATTCTGGTTTAGGAAACTTCCATTTTATATGGCAGCATTTTTCCTTCAGACCCATAAAACTGAGTGCACTGCATTGGGATAATAAGTGAGCATGTACCCCGGGGGAAGCAGGAAGAAATATAAACGTTCCATGCAAATTCTGAACTTGCTTGTTCTCAGAGCAAACCTTTGCTACATTTGCACTTAGGATGTTATTTAGGAGAATGTTAGAAACTCTCAGTTTTTTTTTTTTCTTTCACTATGTGCTGTTGTAGCCATACAAAGCTTTCATGTAACATATCAGTTAGTTATGCAGCATAGTAATAAAATGAACACTCATGAGCCCTGGTTAAAGAATAAGAACATTTACACCATTTTTTTGTTTACTGCTGTAACTGCAGGACTTACAATGGTGCTTGGTATGTAGTAGACACTTAATAAATATTTTTAAATGAATACATAAATACATAAACTTGTATCCTCCTTCCTTATATCATTAACCACAGTCTCTCCTTAGAAGTAACCATAATCCTATATTTGGGGTTTATTATTCACTTGAATGTTTATGATTTTTCAAATATATATTACCTAATTATATTTTGTTTACTTTTGCCTTTTTTGGGATATGTATGTAATGGAATCATAATATATAGGCTATTGTGATTTATGTTTTTTATGTAATATTAGATTGTAAGATTTACCTATGTGTACCTGTATTCTGTTCCTCATTATTGCTGAATTGTATTTTATTGAATGAATGTGCTGTAATTTATTTATCCTTTCTCCTTTCAGTGGATGTTTATCATTTCTGTTTTTATAAATATAGCTGCTATGACACCATTCCTGACTTGCTTGCTGGTACAAATGTGCATGAGTTTCTGTAGGATATAAACCTGGGATTGGAACTCTTATTACAGTTTTCATTTACAGTGTCCAATGGTCAGCCCATAAGGCAGAACTGAAATGTTCCTTTTGTCTACACTACACCAGGGTCAGTGGAAGTGCTGTCCAAAATATTTTTCCAGAAAGAGGAAGGGTAGGTAGGTAAGCAGAGACCAGCCTGGTGAGGTTAGCAGATATCTCAGGCCTTTAGTCAAAGTGGGCTGTAATTAGGAAAGTTCAAATTCTAAAATTGCCTTTATTATTTCTCTTCTTCTTCCTCTTCTTTTACTGTTATTTTTATAAGTGGTGTGTTTTATTGAACTCATATCTAATGAACAAAATATTGATGACTTTCTTCAGTCTTAAACATTGATTATAAATTTTATTAATTAGGTTATTTTGAACTGCATCTTAAATTGTAATATGGATGAAAATTTCTGTTTCATAAAGTCTCTTTTCAAGAATACCTCTTATTTATTCAGGTTTTCATGTTGTATATCTAATATTTATTTTCCAATTATATGATAAAATTACTATAATTATAATTGTCATCTCGTTTATCCAAATATACCTTTATGCCTTTCAAAAATCATTCTTGTCTTTGAGGTGCTTCCTTATCTGTAGCAATCTGCACTCTGCCTTACTATATCATCTACTATGTTGTGTTACAGTTCCTTGATTCCTGTATTTCTTCTGTACTAGATAGTAAATTTCTTAGAGGCAAGAATAATATATTGATTATCACAATGTCCCCAGAACCTAATCCTTTGCGAGGTTTGTAAGGCCAAGTGCTAGGAATTGAGTTGAATACATCTATCTAATATCAACCTTCAATTTTATAACATGATTAGTCATGGATTATGAACCAGCATTTTGGAGGCAGACTTACCTAGGATGGAATCTGGCATTCCCATTTATGACATGAGTGGTCTTGAACAAGTTTAATTTTCCTGAACATCAGTTTCCTCTACTATGATATACAGATGATACAGAGCTATTTGGCAGGGTTTGGAGGAAGATTAAATGAGATGATATACATGAAATGGCCTTGCTTTTATTTGAATGGCTTGCATTAGTTTCAGAAGTCAAAAAAAGAGAGAAAAGGTTGAAGACACTTGTAAAAACAAACAAAAAAAACTTCTGCTGCTTCTCCTTATTTTATGAATGAGGATAGGGACACATTCTTTACCCAAGGAAATGAAAATTTTAGCCAAAGGGATGATGTTCTTAGCATTTAGCCCATTTATATATGGGAAGTGAGCTATTTTCCTGTGGAACTGGCAGTCCTGCTAATCCTGGTTTGATAGGCAGACTCCTGCTGGCTTTCCAGTCAAGGTAGGAAAGTGAGATCTTTTGGGGGAGAAAAGATAGCCAGCTGCTGGGTTTACATATAAGCTGAATTTTTTTAGTGATTTCTGCAGTACTTGGGACATGAATAAAGGCTAATATTTGTGTCTTAGAGGTAAAGTGCTTGTCAAGTATAGCCTAAGCAAAAATATTCTTTGCTCTTGCCCTTGCCAGGGCTGATCCCTGGTTATTGATGGGAAGATAACATTTCATGCTTTTTTGGATTCTGATAACTATGCTGAGCTTGATAGAGCCATGTGTGTAGAAAGTAAGAGAGTAGCAGAAAGATAATAGTGTAATGGAAACTATGTTGGATTTGGAGCCAGTTAGTCCTGGGCTTGTTGTCAAATCACTTTGGACTTTACCTCTCTGAATGTGAGTTTCTTCATTTGATGTAATCATGACCAAAAAAAAAAAAATGTTTCTCAGAGTTGTTTTGACGTGTAGAAATCACCCAACACAACAAACAGACTGCCATTAAGACTTATTTTCCTTCCTTCCTTAGTAAGGGAGAAGTGCTCAGAAAAAAAAAATATGGCTACATTCCTGTGGATGAGAATATGGGGAATTATCATCTACCTGAGGCAGATTAACCCAGGACATCATTTTTTTTTAATGCTTAGACATAGGGTATAGGAGAGAAAAATAATTTGACTTTTGATTAGTAAGAACCATATTTTATTTGTTTAAACTTGAATTAATTACTACAGGAGACTCAGAATTTTACTTCTATTAAGGTTTTAGGATTGGCTTTCTGACCCTCTCCTTCATATCCATCTGAAAGGACTCAGGTACAGATCTTCTTAGAGATAAGAAGTTTAGACTAGATGACTCCTGAAGCTCCATCCTATCCTAAAGACCCTATGGGTATTTTAATGGCCAAGTGTTGAGATGGTAGCCTGAGAAATTTCCAGCATCACTGTGTGTCATTTCCCAACAAGAACCTCAGGTGTAAGGATTTTGCTATTTTATATTGCAGAATGGAGGTGAGGGGATGTCTACATGATCTAGAGAGATAACTAAGGAAAGTGAGGGAATGGCGGGGGAGAAGACCAAAGAAGGCTGGTATGATAACACTAATCATGATCCCTCACTTGTGTATTAATTTTAAAGGCTTTTTATCTTTTTATATAATTTATACTGCCACTCACAATAGAGCTCAGTAGGATGGGCAATACTATTCCTATTTACAGGTGAAAGTGAGGCTTAGAGAACTAGAGCAAAGGATACCAAACTGCTTTGTTGCTTAGTCTCTTTTGGCCATAGATCTCCCTTTGGATAAGGTAAGGCCATATAGCTGGGTTGATACCATTTAATTGCTCTAAAATTGTTTCCTGACCACCATTTTAAGTTAGATACCTTAACCTCAGCACTCAGGTTTCTGTCTTCATCTATCCCTCATGTAAACATAGCCCATGAGACTGGCTGACCCCAGAGAACTTCTTGAATTCCTTAGCAGGATCTAAAAAGGCTTGTCCACATGACAGGAAACCCCACAGACGTCATCACTAGAAGTAGCAGAAAAATCAGCTTCACACTGACTCAATGAAGCAAGAAATAATCTTGTTTTCTAAATAATAATAATTTACACATGTAAATTTGCTCCTAAAGACCTCAGACTTCTATCCTCTTATTTCTGCTAGGCACTGACATGTGTTGCATTGTTTCTCCTGTGTCTTTCCAGTTTGGAGACTTCCAGGGACCATGTCTTACCCATTGACTATTACTTTCCGCCCCAGAAGACCTGCCTGATCTGCGGTGATGAAGCTTCTGGCTGTCACTATGGAGCTCTCACTTGTGGAAGCTGCAAAGTGTTCTTTAAAAGAGCTGCTGAAGGTAAGGGGTCTTGCACACTCACTTCTACCTCCATTTCTTCTTTATCTTATATAGAGATACACCAATCTTCCAGAGCCCAGGATTTTATCATTTCAAAGTTAGAGTCGCTGGTGGGACCCTCTCAAAGAACGTAAGAGCCTAAAGAAACAAGTTTTCATACTTGCTGGTCCCCTGGCTTCAGCAGCCTTGGTAGTACAGGCAATGTATTCAGTGAAGGTGGTCCCATCTGGTGCTTACAGCTTGGAAGGGTCCTACAAATAAAATAAAATTAATTATTTGAAAAGATTTAATTTCTTCCCTGTTTGTGTTCCACTTTGTTGCATAGTGATGGAAAAATTGTCTTTATTAGAGAAGTCAGAAGTGGAGAAACCCCAACTGAGTCCCTAACCCATTCTCTGTAGTGAATATGTGAAGGAATGTTCCTTCACAAAGTCTCCCTGGCCTCAGCCCCAGAAACAAAGCAGACCATCAGTCTGTGCACCTGCTCCCTTCTGCTGCTGCCTTTTTGAGACCTCTTTGAATTAATAGCCCCTATATAAGTAGGGATCCAGAGTGATGAAACACTTTTGTTTTTTCCATAGACTTGCCTTCAGGATCTGTCCATTGGTCCAGCACCCCAAGCTAAGTTTCATCTTATATTTGGCTCAAGCCCCTGACTTCTTAGTCCTATTTAGCTTAGAACAGTTCATGTCTGATCCACTACCAGAGGTGCTCAGCCTACATCCTACAGCAAGAACTCCCATTTCCAGACCTCCTATATATGCTAGTGACTCCTTCCTTACCAATCAACCTGGGCTCAAACCTCCTATTCATCCACTGCCTTCCCCATCCTGTCCTAAGAGCTTGTTTTCACAAAGGGACACTGATAAACAGCCCATAGACAGACATACTCTGCTCTGGGGGCACACCCAGTTGCCAAACACCCGTATCTACTCCTGCCTTCACTTTCCACAAAGGAAATACTTCCTTCCAAGACCTATCCTTCTCTTTCTTTAGCCTAGAAGTATTGAGTTCCAAGTCAGAACCCAAACAGGCAGCCTTTCCTTATGTAAGGGCTATAAACCCTGAGGACACTCTTAAAAGTGGCAGGTATATAAGCCACACCTTTCACCGGAAATGTTATAGCACCCACCAGAGGACAACAGAAGCATCAGAGAGCTTTTGGCATCTAGACAAAAGGTGCAAAGCAGGTGCCCTTTACTAGTTTTTGCATTGGTAGCCATTCGGAATGATTATTGCCTTCTCATCATTTTAGCCAGGTGGCAGGAATACTTATAAAACAGAAAGTCATTATTTTGTTTTCTTCCAGTCCCCAAAGCAACAACGAGACAGCTAGAATTTAGTATTACTGAAAATATGCTGCATGTTCCTTCCATACCCCCAAGTGGCCTATTGCTACTGCTTGTACTGGGACAGTTTGATGTGCAGGGCCCCAGTACTTAGACCTAGGCAGTTTGGAAAGAAACACAGAGAGCAGTGCCTGCTTTTCTTAAGAGTACTTACACAAGGATATCTGTCAGATAAGAAAGCAAGGAATAGCCCCCAATGACTTCAGATCATCTCACCCCAACTACCCCAGTGGATTCTGCTTCCTCCCTCTACCCCATCATCCAGTAGGCCTTGTCTGTAGAGCAGAGAATAAACCAGGGCACCTATCTAAAGACTGTATGTCAGAAAGCCCAGGCAGCACAGTAATAGCAGTCATATCAGATATGGGGAAAGAGTTCAAATAAGCAACTGAACAAGCAAATACAAGTCAAATAGATTACATTGTATTTGATGCTGCCTCTGGTTTTATAGATCTGGGTCACAATACTGTTATTTTTGGGAAACAGGGAAAGTAATCAAACATTGTAAAAGGGAATATTTTGCTGTCATAACGTATTCCACATGGAAGCTTTGTTCAGAAGTTAGAGGTAAAGGAGGAAGGAAGGCAGAATGGCAGCTGGCAGGGATTCCTGGGAGGAGCTGTGCTATGGTGTGTATCTTGGACTATTTGAGAGCAAGGAAGCAGAGAGGGGTAATCACTCAACTTGCAGAACACTTGGAAATCCAGCAAGGTCTTAAAATGCTCTAGACCTTAGAATAATTTAAGTTATGGAAACTTGGTAATATTTTCTTTGAGAAAATGAGCCTCCGTGGGCTCATGGGGCCAAATACTCTTGACTCTTTGACATACAAAAAAATCACAAATGGATTTCTTACAAAGCTGTGGATCCCCTTGGTTCCTTTGGAATATGAACCCCAGGTTCCAGTCCTGAGCCCTTTGAGGGATAGGAGAAGATGGTATAAACACACACACACAGACAGAAAAGAAAGCAAAAAATGGCATTTTCTTTCTTCCTCCCATCTGAAAAACTTGGTGACTTGAGTTTACTACTGTCATTATCTCTGTTTGAAGGCGGGGGGCTGTCTTATTATCCACAGGAAACATTTATTGATTCCGATTTTTCCCCACTTTTACAATGTGTCCTTATTGCCCAAATGGCCTTTATGAAAGTGATTCTGAATCTGCTTTATTAAAACTTGGAATTCCACCTGTCTTGGAGAAAGTGGAGCACAAATCTTTCTTTTCCTCATTTGTTTGTTGTTGTCAGTTAAGTCAGACTGAGTATTCAATGTTGATTACCACTTTATTCATGGTTTCAGAAATCTCTGGACTGGGCACAGGTACAAGACTTAAAAGCCTGGCATGTCAGACAGAAATCCATTTCTAGCTTTGGTAGATCATAAAGCATGAGGCTTTAATGCTGTCGTTGGTGCAAGGCTCAGCACAGAGTCAGTTGTAATCTAGCCAGATTTTCCTATTGAGGAGGAAGAGAGAGCCTCATATTTTCTCATTGTCAGTAGTTCTGGGAGTTTGGGGTGAGGATTAGGCTAGTCAGGGAAGCATCTTCATATTTTGAGATTAAAAAAAATAATGGTGGTAGTCCATGGGGCTAAAATCACTAAAAGATTTTTGGTTGTTGAAAGCTCAGTGAAAGTGTGTGTGTGTGTGTGTGTGTGTGTGTGTGTGTGTGTGTGTGTATGTGCACATGTGCATATATACACACACATGCAGTTGGGGGAAGATCTGTGGGCTAGAAACAGGTATGAGGAGTGGGGTGGGGGGATGAACAGCGAGGTTACAGGGGAAGGCATACTGAATGCTATCTAAAAGGCAAGGAAGTCAAAGGAAGGTGATGCCCATACACAGGAGTAGAAGCTCAAAGGAGTTTTAGTTGTCTATCTTTGGATAATTAATTTTCCTCTTTGGACTTCAATTTTCTCTGTAAAATAAGGGACTTAAACTAGATATTTTTAATATACCCTTCCAGTGTAGATGTTTATGACGATTCTACAAATTCAAAGCATCGTCACTATCAAAACTATTATTGGACCAAACAAACATGCATTTATACCTATATGCACTTTTGGTTTTGCCTTCTTAACAGATAGTAAACCCTATCTCCCATTCTTTTAAAAATCAATTTTCAGATGATATAGCCATCTGGGAAAGTGCACTATGGATGGGCTAGGTTAAAATTCAGGACTCTGAGATTCCTCCTTTCCCCAGCATTGTGACCATAGTTGGTTAACTTCCTTTCTTTTCCATTTTCTCATCTGGAAAATCAGGATATAAATCCCCATATTTACCACATCATGTTTCAAAGAGGGTTAATTAGTTCATTATGTACACTGTGTGCTCAAGAATTTACTATTTTTCAGACATTTTCTAGTAAAACATTGGAGATTGTACATCCATTTGTTTTGTACACATGGAGTGCTGTTTGGTACACATCATAAAATTGAAACTGTAGTTTACATTCTGGACTCAAAGAATTACACCATCCTCGGTGATGTTTACAATATGTCCCAATTTAGTATTCCTGGCAAATTTTATATAAGTATGGCTTTGATTCCGTCTCTCACCCCAGGTTTTTGTGAGGGAAGAAATGGAAGTGAACCCTCATTGAACTCTTTCTGTCCTTTAAATCCACTCTTTCCCACCTCAACTCATGTGGAATTGAATGTTAACTTCTTGTTTGGAGACTTGCAGAGAGTTTTTTTGTGCTTTTCAGTGTCCTCTTGACTCCTTCGCTTTTTCAGTAACATTTCCCGGGGGCAAATTAGCTATGTTAGAAGGATCTGCTTGCAGCGTCACCAGAGCCTTGATCAGGTATCTTTGGCCAAAGAGTTGACTGATCCTGATTGCACTGATCCTGGATATCTTCTCACAAAGTTCCTCTTATCTTTTATCTGTCTCTGGTTTTTCTAAATGTCAAAGCCAGGCTTTAGATCTGAGGTCAGCAAACTTTTTCTATAAAGGACCAGGTAGTAAATATTTTGGGCTTTGTAGGCCATATGGCCTGTGACTCGACTATTCAACTCTGCATTTGTAGCCTGAAAGCAGTCCTAGACAATTTGTAAGCTAATGGGTGTGGCTGTATTACAATAAAATTTTATGGGCACTGAAATTGAAATTCATTTAATTTTCACATGCCATTCAGCACTATTTTTGTTTTGATTTTTTTCAGCCATTTAAAATCTAAAAATCATCCTCAGCTCTTAAGCCACACAGAAACAAGTGGCACAGTGGATTTGGCTTGTGGACTGTAATTTTTGACTCTTGCTTTAGATGGTCACTTATGTGCTTACAAGTCTGCAGACTAAATTTAACTCTTTCCAATGTTCTAGTATTTTATTAACTCTCTAGTTCATCTAATTTTATTTTTTTTTTATTTTTTTTTTTAATTTTTTCAACGTTTATTTATTTTTAGGACAGAGAGAGACAGAGCATGAACGGGCGAGGGGCAGAGAGAGAGGGAGACACAGAATCAGAAACAGGCTCCAGGCTCTGAGCCATCAGCCCAGAGCCCGACGCGGGGCTCGAACTCACGGACCGCGAGATCGTGACCTGGCTGAAGTCGGACGCTTAACCGACTGCGCCACCCAGGCGCCCCTAATTCATCTAATTTTAAACATTCTTCTGAGTGGCCAGAGTTTGCACATCTTGGTTT